AGTGCCTTCCCGGTTCTAAAGCTCCCACCAGAGGCATTTGTTGCAGCTGTGTCACAGTTCAACTTGCTTTGCCCATCTGCCCATTGTTTCACTCATTCCCTCACCAACGTTGGTCCTGAGAGAGTTCACAGTAAACTTCCTCCGGGCAAATCTTGGTCTCAGAGTCAGTTTCAGGGGTCCCCAGTTCAAGACAACATGTAAGTTAACCTTATATGTTCATTATGTGTTTAATTATGTTCACCTGATATATGCCAGATAGTTTTGTATGGCTATTTTATATTCCTTTCCTTCACCAGACCTCTAGTAATAAATCCTGTTACAGTATGGCCAACCAACTTTGGCAACACACTGCGGTGTCATTTTTCTATTATTGCCTCTTGACAGCATTGCATCCTGAGGCATTTTGAAGCTTAGGTGTTTGGCCTTCTGCTCACGCACAGAAGAGCTTCCTGGGTGGTCTGCCCGGTGGTTATGGAGAGTTTGGGAACCTGCTGTTCCCCCACAGCTAGTTCTTAACCAGACTTATAGCATTAAAGGCCAGATAATAGTACTGAACCAGGCCTTGCACAAGTCCTTAAATAGATGTCATAAGTGATTACAGGAAAGCTCATCAAAGAACCACATTGGCTCATAACTGCCCATTCAGTTCAGCTTTCCCTATATAGTTTAAGTTTCCCTATATAGTTCAAGTCAATGTGTCTACAATCTTCACAGTCAATAAAATGTTTTTAATACTTTGTTGACATTTTTATGCCTTCACAAATACTCCCCGTGAACAGTTATATTTACATTGATTTATTTACATCCATAAATGCAAACATAATGTTTCTGAAATATTAACCTACCTACAAATTTTATTTCCCAGTCCTGCTAATAAACAAAGAAGCAAATAGCATAACTCTGACAGAATGACAGAAACTGCCCATTTCTCAGCATGTCAATTGTTAATACTCTGATTTGAGCCACTGTCATCCTGGCTTCGGATTGCTTTGCCTCCTACAGCCTACTCCAAGGCAGCAGCCATAATGATCCTTTTTAAAATGTGTTAATAAGTCAGATCCTTTTACTACATTATTCCAAACTCGGCAATGATTCCCCATTTCATTCTCTACCACTTACCTCTCTGATTTCTTATGTACTTTCTTTCTGCATCACTCCGCTCCAGTCACACCAGCTTCCTTACAATTCCTGGAACATACTGGGCGCGCTCCTGTCTTGCTTCATTGCTCTGTCAGCTCCCTCTGCATGCAGTACTCTTCTCCTAGTTGTCTGTTGGGCTAACTCTTTTACCTCTAAATCTTTGCTCAAATGTTTTCTCTCTTTGGGGCTTATCCAGAGCACCCGATTCATTTAATGATCAGCATATCCATCACACTGCTTGATCCCAGGCCTGTATACCCTGCCCTGCTGTATTTTTTCTCCTTTACATAGCACCACCTTCTAACCCACACAGGGTGCATTTACCATGACGCTAATGAAACTTAAGCTTAGGGCCCCTTCCCTGCATAATTCCTGTAAAATTTGCAAACGTGATATATTTTAACTACAATTGGTTAAACCTATTGTCTCTTTCCACTTCAATTTCTTCTCTTTCATATCCTCTCTTGTACCACATGATTTTGAAATGACTGCACACATTTTTGAGGTATGGCTAAGGAGAAATTGAATTAGGGATACATTGAGTTGGGTGTAGTGTAATCTAGTTAGTGTTTTGCAGTCACTTCTTTATATAGCTCAGTTAATACTAGCCATTTTGGTATGGAAAGAGCTTCCAGGAAGACAGCTACTGCCTGTTGACCTTATAGTGTACTGTTTTCTGATTGGTGCACTAGAGTGCTTGCCACCAAATGTATGTGGGTGGGTGGTGGAAGAGAAACATGGTGTGAAATTAACAGGGCCAATTAATTGGTAGAATATTTTTCCACATTTTACAGCTCATATTTTAAAGAAATATGATTGAGGTTTTCCAAAATATGGCATCAATCCTAAAACTTTTAATGAAATGACCAATAAAGTTGTGATGCCAAAATAAACTTCTAATCAAGAATAATTTTTTTTTAATTAACCATGCTAGAGATAAGGCTGGATTATCTTTCTGTTCTCTCTTTAGAAAATGTTACAGAATTACTATATGAAGAGGTGATTAAACACAATGAAGTAAAAACATGTGCTTTGGATAGTTAATGAAAATATTTTGTGACTTTTTCTGAATTTTTAATGTTTTTGCTATGTGTCAACTTTTTAAATCTGTGTAAGTTGTTTTCTTATTCTGAGTATTTCGTAACTAGTTTTGCATTTGTAGTTTTGCATTGTTTTTGTTAAAGGAGACCCACCAAATTATATAAACTTCAGGTCTCACAAGATCCAGGTGTACCCTGAATATGCTATATGATTTACTCATTTGTTGTGTTCTGCTTATTGCTTATTGTTGGCCTCTCCCTCTAGTCCAGCACAGGGTAAACATGTTGAGAGCAGGAATCTTAGTTCACTGATGCTTTTTAAGTTCCTGAACAGTGCTTGGTACATAGTAGGCACTCAATAAATATTTGTCAAGTGAATGAATTGACATTGCAATGAAACTTCAGTGTTAATCTAATTTAGTTTAGCTTAAGAAAAGTCAATATTGACATGAAGGAAAGTAAAAAGACTGTGGTGAATAGAAAACACTCTTGAAACTCTGTACTTTGTGTTACTAAGGGCATAGACGTAACTTATTCCTATTCCTAGATGTTTCTTCAGTAGTTGTTAGCTGCTATGTGCATCATTATTTTTTAGGTTCTGTGACCTTATTCCTTGGGACCCAAGGCTAGCCTTAGCTGGCTTTCTGCATCATCCCACTCCAAGGGTGAGAATTTAATTTTAGAGCTGTAAGGAGGTGAGGCCATGCAGAGAACCACTGGGAAGCCAATACAGCAGCTGATTTTTCTTAAGCCAAGAATTGGGCAGGAGGAAAATAAAGGTAGACTATTTTTTATTTTCCTATATCTAAGTCAATCATAGAAACTCTCTCTTTAGAGAGCTATCTTTGTTTAAACGTTGGATATGAGAAATAAAAATATTCCTCAGGCAAAGGAGGAATAAGTACATAAATATATTTTTGTATATATATATTGCATTTTAAAAATAGGCATATTAATATAGAGCTTATACACTAGAGCTGAGCTTTAAGAAAAACAGAATCTCATAAGATTTCAGTTTGGAGAATTTTTCGGTTTCTGGACACACAGTGAAAACACATTATATGTATGACTAGTGAGGGCAGCCTCCCTTCACTTAAGCATCTAAACTTTTATATAACCACTAAAACATCTCTTTTTTAAAATGCCCTTGTAGGATTTACAGAGGTCATAGCCAATTTTTATTTTTATTTTCGAGAACACTTTTCTGGACATAGAAGGGAAGCCTTATTATCAGTAGTGAAGAAAGTAGTGAGCTAATGAAGGTGTTAGGTGTTGACCAAGACCTCTCTGCTTTCTCAGGTTAGCAGTTAGCACTTGGCACTGCTATTTTCTAGAATATAATTTGCTGCACTCTGACTCCATGTCTAGCAAGTCTCGACAAAGGAACATCAATAAGTTCTCCAAACTGAGCTTTTGTCAACACTAACCTTGCAGAATACATGCCACCTAGAATTGTGACCTTCATTGCTAAATCTCTCTGTTGCTTGAGAGTTTTGAGCCCTGAAGAGATTATGGCTACAGTAAGAGTCTTTTCCCACATTATTTTCCATAGGTTTGCAGGCAAAAGTTGGGATTACAAGGTTCCTTGGAAAAGTAGAGAGATGTTTTTTACTCAGAATTGTATCTTTACTCAGGATTATTACTTAAAAATAATCCTCAGTGCACCAAGGCTGAAAGCTGTAGGGTCTCGACTGGACTATCAGTAGCTCAATGAATGTCACTGACTGGAATGAAACCTACCATTCTTGACATTACTATTGTTATTTTTCTTTATTTATGACTAAAGGCTGAGGAAGTGTTACTGAAACACATTATTTCTAAAACCAGATTGAGACTAATTAAATACATTTCAAAAACTTTCTCAAAAATATAAAAAAGGTAGTTTTCTTTTTCATTTTTAAATAAGTATTCTCCCAAATTATCTTCTCTGGAAATAGCACTAGAAATAAATAAAATGGCTCTGATGATGTGATGGGCATATCAGAGAGGGAAGAAAAGAACTTTTGAGAAAAAAAAATAAAAAGCAGGGAGTTAAATTATTCATCAGGCCCGTCTCAGCTGCTTCCTTTCTTGCCTGGTGAATGGCACATCCCACATGGATCCTCCGCGTGGTCGGAGGGGTGGTGTTCACTCTAGTGAAGCCATCCTGTCGGGACTGGTTTATTCAGATCCTTTTGACCAGAATGTTTGCTAGCATTTTTTTTTCCCCAGCGAGTGTTACATAATGCAATATTATGAATTTTATCTCTGTTCTCAACAACTTGTTGGATATGTGCACTTAAAATGGATGACTTTCATCATACTGTTATGCAATAAATCTGTCAGGTTAAATTTCCTTTTAGTGAGCCAGAAGATGAGCTGAACGCTGATGTATTTAAGTATAAACCAAAGATAAATATTCCTCACATTGTTTGTGGCTTTATGAAGAATAAAATGAGCTGGTGAGATTGCTATTGACTTTTTTTTTTTTGACACTTGCTTCATTTAAGCATCCACTGTGGTCAGTGATTCCTCCTTTAATGTCCACATTTTCTTCTATTATAAGATTGTAGGGTGTGCCAGTCAAATTAGACACTGAAACCAAAAGGAGAAGCAGGAGCCTTTCTTTTCTTTTAGTGCTGTTGATTTCCTCTGCCAGTTACCTACTCACGTGTATTTATACAGTCTGTCCTTGCTTTGCACAATTCCCGTGTGCACAATTTTCAGTTGACACGATGCCAAGAAAAAGGACGACTACCTAAATTTATCTATGTGTGTATGAATATATGTATGTATGTGTGCATGTATTTATTTTTATTTTTGAATGTGTTTATTTTTCAGGTATTTGAAAATGGTAAAAACACTGGAGAGATCTCTGTTGGTATCAGGAAAAAAGATCTGGGATCTGATAGCCCAATTCAGACTGAGCATATGATGGAAAGAGTAAGTTTACTGACAGTTTACTTATGACTTTAAAGTGTCTTGCAAGTTAATTGCAACTAATTTAGACAATTACATCTTAAAGTTGTTTGCAGAAGATCAATGGTTTGTTGATCTGTAAAGACTGATATTGCAAAGATTGACTTCTGAATTTCTTAGGCTTTCAGCATTAGTATAGTGTTAACTCCTGAACTCCATACCTAACAGTTTCTTAATCTTTTTCATGCCTATATTTGGAATCTGTCTATGCTGGGCCCTGGTTTTGATACATCAGGATTTCCCTCTTGTTTACACTTTTAAAAAAGTGCTATATTCAGTGGAGAGTATGCCCTGGATCTAGGGTATTTCTAAACCCTAGATTCTGAGTAATTAACATGCAGCCTTGGTCTTCTCCCCTGCTCATTAAGAGCAAGTACAGCTAGTTTTGCTTACATCATAGGCACTCTTACCTTTTCCTGTTTTCCAGACAATTGGGATGTTTCTCAGGCAAAACCAACATGTTCAGGGTCTTTATTTTGGGTCTTTGTCTTGCATAAAAGGACACTGAACAGCCTGTTGTTTACAAATTGGGGTTATGCACCCGAGCACACACCAGTGTTTTGGGCTCTCTTGCCTCGCCTTTGCTCTGTAACTTGCTCCCTTTTTCTCCCTTCAGTTCAGCACCCTCAGACTTACCTCTCCTGGTGGTATCCATTACCTGGCTTTTACAACCAATCAAAAAAGTTGTATGTGAATTGGGATGCTGTCATTGGATCATTAGCTGGACCTGGAAGAGAGGAAGAAATACTATGATTAGAGAGAGAAAGATCCAGAACCTTGACTGGTTTCTTTTTACCATAACATACCTGATTATACAAATCACCATGACACAAAGGCCTTCATAGGATTTTCACCTGTCTCCCCGACTTTTTACATTAGAATATTTTACCAGCTTGGGCAACATGGCAAAACCCCATCTCTACAAAAAATTTTAAAATTAGCCTGGCATGGTGGCACATGCCTGTAGTCCCAGCTACTCGGGGGTGAGGTGCGGGGATCACTTGAGCCTGGGATGCCGAGGTTGCATTTAGCTGAGATCACACCACTGCACTCCAGCCTGGGCGACAGAGTGAGATGCTATCTCAAAAAAAAATAAATAAATAAAATAAAGGAAGATATTATTCTATAGAAGCTTTTTGTATTGACTTACAGCACACTGAAATTGAGCTGTGCTGTGATTCTGTATGCAATAAATCTGGGCAAAAACATTAATTAGGGGCATTATAAAGCTCTTTGGGAGAGCCCTTGTTACACCACCCAAGGACAACCACTCCCTTGTGTGGACACGTGTCTCAATCACTAGCCCACTAGCCTAAGATGTTTCACATTCTTTTCAGATTCTTGAACAAATTCTTATCCTATATTATCCTATAAAGGCCTGGTGATGATAGCTTTAAAGATAAATGGGTGAAGATTATCACAGTTTTTGGTTGCTACAGCAAAGCCCTAACCAATGACCTAAAGATGAGGGGCACAGAGGCCCTTACCTCCTGTAGACTGTTGAATGCTCATCTTTGAACACCTAAAATGCAGTCTGTCACCAACTTGAGAAAATAGAGATTGCAATGCAACTCCTGTGAAAGTGAATTTGGTTAAGTGGTCAGGTGCTGACATCGCATGTCTACCTCGCATCCCTCTTCTTTGTACACACATTTCTTTCCTGGATCAGGCCTTAAATCTTTTGTATCATTCCCCTTTATAAAAAGGTGGTGCCTGTAAAGCAAAATCTCTGTGATTTAAAAAATGATCAGCATAACATGTTTTCTGAAACAATAGCAAAGCAACAAAAATAAGCTCAAGGGCTGAAACAACACAAAAATAAATGTTGGGCTTTAGAAATACAATCTGTAGATTTCAAAATATGTTTGCCATTTCAATGGAAAAATAACCAAGGCAATATAGATTTTTACTGTTCTGACACCTTTGCCTCTTATACACCTAAAGAGGAGAGTAATGATCATTTTTAGTTCAAAGGAATTGGCTATGCTGGATGAGAACTATTAATGCCTTTCTAATGCTCAAGACTAAAAATCTTCAGCTAATGAAAACACTAAATTGGAGATACTATTATGTATCTCTAATTGGGACAAAACCTAATTCTTAGGTCCTATACATGTAGTTTCTGGTCAAGGGAAATATTTGCTCAGTCGAGTTTACAGCCAATCGTGAGACACCTGAGATATATGGCAGACCTGTGACTTTCCCTTCTTTCCTCTAAGCCTCAGCATTTAGCACTTCTCAATATACCCTCAATGGGAATTAATAGAGGAGCAAAAAAGAAAAGAAAATAAAGGACCCTGAACTGCAGTTAGGCCAGAAAAGACCACAGCTATATCCACATCCCTGCAGGGATTACAGATTAACAAGAAATCGAGAAACACAAGAACTGACAAGGGACAGATGAAAAGGAAGCCCGTGACAGAAGGCTGGGGGAAGAGTGATGGATAGGGTGGAGTGCAGAGCAGGGAAGAGCAGAGGCCGAAACACTTAAACAAAGGTGACAGAGGATAATGAAAAATGTCTTTTCAAATACCATATGCAGCACAGTTCTGTTAGATTTACTTTATATTTGAAATTTGCCCTAAATTAGAAATATCTCGATAATTTAGAGACTCTAAATGCAAGATAGAAGCAAACACTGACAATGCTATTATTTTAAATATTAAATGACAGCTTTTCATACTTCACACTTTAATGATGTCTTACTCACAACTTAAAAACATTCATTATTGAAGATGTCCACAAGCTATTTCAGGGTTCCTAATTAAAATGCATCTAGGGAGAGATCTTTCTAACTGAACCAACTTAGGCTAAAAGTGAGTTTAATTTTGGCAATTGTCCTACTATTAGTTACCTGAGATTTGCTGGGGACAGGGAGCTTGGTGATTGTAAAACTTGAACGTGGTCTGGATGGCCCCTAACAAAATGTGTAGCTCAGACAAGAAAAGCATAACCCTTATCAAAGAGGACCGTTACCATGTGTAGAAGCTAAATGCTCTTTCTGTAAGACTGTCACATCTGCTTTCAGTCCCTGTGCCAAAGGGTCAGAGCTCAATCACAAGCCTGTGGCACCCCCTGCTGGTTAAAAGCCCATGCTCATTTTGTTACTTTACACTGAGCTAAACATTGCTGTCATTTCACACTTCTTTTAACATTCTATATGAATTTAATTATCATTTGTTTGGACTTCATTTGTTACAGAGTAGAGACAGTTTATTACAGATGTTCCCATTTCGGGTTATTTATTCTCTTCTGTCCCCTCTGCGCCCCCACCCCCAACCAGTTACTTCTCAAGATTCATCAAAGGCTTCGAGGTTCTTCCATCAACCCACCAGGCCTCAATTTTTCCTCAATGCGGCTTTTTGATGAGAATGGCCAAGAAATTAAGAATCCACTTTTGCTGAAGAATGAGCAAAAAATTTGGGTCTCTTATGGTAGAGCATACAGGTAGGAGCAAAGGATTTGTTTTCTGTCCTCAATCTTTCCAGGGGTGAGCTAATTTGAAAGGGGATTTGAGAAGTCAAGTAGCACCCTTTATGAAAGATTTTTTACTTTGAATTCCAATAAAATTTCAGAGGTGTTTTTGCAAGGCAGTATTGTTTGTGGAATATGACATCTCTTTCTCTTTCTCTGTCTCTCTCTCTCTGTGACTTTCTGTCTTAATGCCTTGTCATAGTTTTTGAAGTCTGCCTGTCAGCACAGCAAGAGGGATTTGTTCATGTCTGAGTAGTCACCTTAATGATAGCAGATGGAAACGCCACAGGGGGCCCAAGCCCATCACACTGTCATTGTCGCACACTGCCCTGACCTGCTTCCACTCCTCTATTTTTTTTGTCCCTTTTTAAAGGAGAAATGGATGGTAATTGAAAAGGATCTTAAGCAAGATTTATGAAGCTGTAGACAACATGATTCCCCACTATCTCTCTATGTTTTCACAAATAAAGTCTTAACCTTTTAAGCACCAATGACAGGACGGCTAAAGATAAATTGGTAAAGCTTATAAGCCCTATCCTATCAAAGTTATATTCCTCAAAAGCACCTTACATTATCCCACAATAATTACTGGTTATTGCTGAGCATTGTGTAAATTTTTGTAGATTGGTAAATTCCTGCATAAAATTATCTGTGTTTCTGAAGAAAGAAAAAGGCTGCAGTATATAGGCAGTGATGAGCTGGGCTGTTGTGTTCAATATCTAGAAAATTTATGCATATTTTGACAGAACACATCCAGATGAACTCTGAAACTGCTTGTCAGGAAACTTAAACACACTTTTCTGCCTATTTTTAATTTTTTTTTAGCTTGTTATCTGTAGAACAGAATAAGGGAAAATAATTTTTCATATAGAGTATAACTGATCATATATTAACTATAATGAAAATAGCATGAATAAACCTAAATCTTAGCAAAGCAAGGGCTGTTGGATTTGCTATATATTCAAATAGTTAAAATTTCAAATACTGAAACAAATGTACTCAGAAATCCATCAAGGTTTTGGAAGAAGTTGCTAGAATAAGTTGTGGGTCGCATGTTACAAAATTTTATTTCATCTGTCCCAGTAAAATTAAAATGCTTGATGATTTCTTAGGCTGTGTAATTTAGATAATTAAAAAATCTCTAAGGAATGGTAAGTTTTTGTCCATAGATAAATTTCAAAATTCAATTTAATTGCATTATAAGTAGAGTTGTTTTTACAATGATAAAAACTGATGAATTTTAAAGTGGCAAGAATTCTTGAATAATCGAGTAAGCCCTTCCTATTACAAGGATAGGCTTTAATAAAATGTGTCATTATTATTTCTTTTTAATATTATTGTCAAAGTGAAATTAATGACTCACTAATTTTGATACTTTTAATGATGTTTGCTATAATGCAGCGTTTTAATAATATTAAACATTTGTTTTTAGCTAATTGGATCATATTTGTGGAATAACTGGTAAAATGCAAAAAAATCTGAGATATTCTAAAAATCAGCTGAGAATTGTTGTCAGAGAAATTTACCGGTGCATATATTTATTTGTATTTCAGTATGATTTTAACAGTTTAATGTATTTTTTTTTTTTTTTTTTGGTTTCCAATCCAACATAAAACACCAGGAAACCATTACAGCATTTTGCTACCATGGGAATATTTAAAATGTATATGTCTAAAAAGTTATTGCCATCTAGTTTGAAATATGTTGAGAAAACGTGCAATACATACTAAGTAAATGGTTTTCATTTTCAGTAAGTAATTCTACTGTGTCTAATTTATGTTGATTTGAAGGGGTCAAGCTACTCATTTGTAAAAGATGATTTTTGCCAATGTCCGCTTCTATTTTGAATACTTTATTTTTCCTTCAAATTTTTATTTTGAAAAAATTTAAATCTAAGGAAACTTGAAAAAATAGTGCAATGAGCTCCTGTATATATCTTTCATCTAGATTCACTAATTTAAAGAGTTTGCCACGTTTGTTTTACCTGTTATATCTCCCATCTCTCTCTCCCTCTTGAGCGGCTTGAAAGCAATTCCAGACATTAAAATTTCACTCCTAAATGCTTCAGGTCACATAACTGAAGAAGAATTATGTGTCACCACATTATAATATCTAACACAATCAACAGTGATGTAATATCCTCTAATATATACTCTCTATTCAAGCTAACCAAAATATGCTTTAGAACTCTTTGTAATCTAGTATCCAAATACACTTCCTTGTATTATATTAGTTATTTTCTTTAGTTGTCTTTAATCTAGAATATTCTTTTAATCTTTTGTTTTGTTTTGCATGACATTAATTTATTTTTCAAGAGTCCAGGCACTTTTCTTGTAGAATGTCCCACATTCTGGGTTTGTCTGAGTGTTTTCTCATAATTAGATTCAATTTAAATATTTTTGGTAACAAGACTACACAGGTGATGTCGTCAATTTTTAATTCTAGAGATAAATAGCAAGTCTTAAGCTATTTATAGAAAAATGGCTGATAGTGTACAATAGTGGCCATTGTTTTCGTTTAAAATCTGTTTTTGATTTTAATTTCCAAATTCACTTAAAAGCGTGCCTAACAATATGTAATATGAAAACCAAATCAGCATAGCATTTAGTGAGCTCACAAAAATTGTTGTTTGTGGCCAAATATTAATAATTCATTTAATTATCAGCTCCCAAGATTACTATAGATGTATTCGATTACTGTTATACATGAAAAATGAACATTATATGAATGACGATTGTTTTTCGTAACTACTTGGCTTTAATTATTGCAATTATTATTTTTAAAATTACATATGTTGAAACTATTTTGGCATATTATAAATCAGCTAAATAAACTGAAGTATACATTTCAGGTGTTAGTATAGAATACCAACAATAGTGCTATATAATAGGAAACCCACTTATTTCTGAATTTTATTAGACACTGATAATGTGTATTTTATTGTTTATTTGTGCTCAAATTTCAATATATGTATAATTCTGAAGATAGTTTTGATGTTTTTTCCATTTTTCAGATCTCCACTAAACCTTGCTTTGGGTTTGACCTTTGACCGAGTGAGTGCATTTGCCAGAGGTGACATCATGGTTGCATATAGGACCTTTTTGGATCCTAATGCTGTTCTGCTACCTGGATGTGGCAAGTAAATTAACAAGTAATCTTGTTAAAGATCTGGTTAAAGTAATCCAAACCACTTAATTCAGGATTTTTCAGAGTAAGAGATTCGAAACACTAAAAGATGCTTTTTCAGTTATCTTAAATAAGAATTGTTTCTTTTATTGATTTATTTAATGGTATAATGAGGTAGTGCCTAAAAGACTTGTTAACTTTCCCTAGTTTTAGAAAACCATATGGGGCCATGAGCAAAGCATAGTTTCTGCTTTGCAGAAACAGCAATTTTGTTTGAAACGTAAAAGCCGTTTTTAGTGATTATTTCTAAATTAATCATTTAAAATGGAATCATTAAAATATAAAATATGTTCTTTGTATGAGTGTTCACATTTAAACTTCTTATCTGATGATGGTACATTTAAAACAAAAGCAACGTTCTGGGGACTTGTTGGGGCAGTGAAGAGTAGGAGTTAGAAGATCTAAGGAGGCACTTTGCTTCGTCTCTGCTCATGATTGTCCAGGAGCTGGTTTCTTTTTTTTTTTGGTGGGGATGGAGTCTCCCTCTGTCGCCCAGGCTGGAGTGCAGTGGCATGCTCTCGGCTCACTGCAAGCTCAGCCTCCCGGGTTCACGCCATTCTCCTGCCTCAGCCTCCCAAGTAGCTGGGACTACAGGCGCCCGCCACCATGCCCGGCTAATTTTTTGTATTTTTTTTAGTGGAGACGGGGTTTCATCGTGTTAGCCAGGATGGTCTCGATCTCCTGACCTCGTGATCCGCCCGCCTCTGCCTCCCAAAGTGCTGGGATTACAGGCGTGAGCCACCGCGCCCGGCCTGGTGTTGGTTTCTTATCTGCGAATAATATAAACTGACTTTTACTGAGTGTTGACCGTAGGCCAGGCACAGTTACAAATTAATTGGGTAAGGACTGATTTAATTCTCATAATTATCTTACTCCTATTATTCCGTATTACTCTACTCTTACTCCATTTCTCAGAGACAGAAACCAAGGCACAAAAAGAGAAGTAATTTGTCCAAAGTCACACAGCTGGTACATGGTAGAGTCAGGATTCTAACCCAGATCATTTGTCTTAAGTACCCGAGTGCTTAGCCACTATTTAGTGCCATCCGATAAAACTTTCTGTGATGACGGACACACACTTTGTGACTACTGAGCATTTGAAATGTGACTAGTGTGAATGTAAAACTGCATTTTAAATTTTGTTCAAGTAAATTAATTTAAATTTAAATAGGAATAGGTAGCTAGTGACTACCATATTGGACACCGCAGCAGATCCTGATACTATTTTGGATTAAGTAATCTATCTGTAAGGTCCCATCTAGCTTTAACAATCTTATAATTTAACAAATTATAGCTCTTTTTAATAAACAGTTGAAAATGCTGAAGTAGAAGGCATATACAGAGAACCAAAAGCAGTCTGATGAGATCACTGAGTCCAGCCAGTGACTACCTATTGCTAAATATGTCTAGAGGGACATACGCATTGGTAGTTGTTTAAATAACAGCTTTCTTCCCCAATGACTGCTGGTGCTTTCCAGGCAAGATTTGAGATATAAGTTATTAGTAATAGTGTATACATAAAGAGAAAAGAGTATAAAGAGTAAAGGGTATTGTAATTAAATGCATATTATTCTAATACAAATAATTACATATTTTACTCTTCTTAGTTGGGAAGTTTGTGAGGGATTTCCAATTAATTTCAACTGTACCAGTCAACAGATACCTGACCAGTTTGAAAAGGTGGACTTGGAGAACCATTTTCTACAGAACAAGGTCAGATTTTAGTTCTCCTACTTTAAAAGCTGCACTTTATGCGTTGGATACTCAGCCAACATATAATGGGTATTTGTAACAGGTTATTTTTTCCCTGAGATGGAGTCTTGCTCTGTTGCCCAGGCGTGAACTCATGCAGTGAGATCATGCAGTGGCGTGATCTCAGCTCAGTGCACCCTCTGCGTCCTGGGTTCAAGCGATCCTCCTGCCTCAGCCTCTCAGGTAGCTGGGACTGTGCCTGGCTAATTTTTGTACTTTTAGTAGAGATGGGCCATGTTGGCCATTTTGCCATGTTGGCCAGGCTGGTCTCGAACTCCTGACTTCAAGTGATCCGTCCACCTTGGCCTCCCATATTGCTGTGATTACAGGCGTGAGCCACCGCGCCCGGACTGTGACAGTTTTTTTAAACTATAAATTATATTACAGTTTTTTAAACTATAACTTATTTTTACAAATGTTGGGGCAGGTGTTATTCTTTACTTCCTGTTAATTAACCAGGCACTTCAAAACAGAAAGCAATATATATAATTCCTACCTGAAAACCTTATACCTGATTTATGTTATTTAAGCCCTGTTGTTTGGCATATTTTCTTTGTACTATTAATAGCTATAATAATAAGTTGGAGTTATTTAAGGAAGTCTTTAAGATGGCTGCTATCTCTGTAGTTTAGGATCTAATCTATTTGCTCTGTAGGTCAATGTATCTAAGGAACACAAGTTCTTTAGGAAACCTAACTCATGGCAACCCAATCCCAAAGGTCCATATCAGTTTACACTTAGAAATTTATCCTTCCAGTAAAGAAGATTTTTTTTTTCCTCTAGCTCAGTTATGAAAGGCATTTTAAATCTATCTCCAAAGAAGGAATAATTATTTTGTTTTTCTTAGCTGGCAAACTCTGTGTATGATTGTTGCTCATTTTAGCAGTGTAAACTTTATTTTTTGAACATGTGAAATCAAAATCAAAAGTCACTTACGGAGACAGAGCAGTCCAAAGAAAGTAGGACTTCCTATCAACTGGGCCCTGTATTTCTAAGAGTCAATGCGAGAGACACATTGCCCCAACCTGCTCTTTTAAAATTTCTTTATGCTACCCATTCAGTTTCTCAATTATGTCCAAATTTAAACTGAAAATATTGATTGCTTCAAGGAGCATATGGATCTAAATAACTATACTTATAAAAATAGAATCAGGTATTTCTACTTCTGCCTGGTTGTGAGAAAATTTAGAAAATTAAAGTAACTAGAATGATGTACTCATTAATGTATTTTGTATTTTGTATTTTTCCTTCATCTGACATTAAGATTTATTTGCTGTAGATCTGATCCTGTTGGTATTCCTTGTTAAGTTTTTGCTGTAGCATTATTTTCCTGCTCAAAACACATGTATGGGCTTGACGCGGTGGCTCACACCTGTAATCCCAGCACTGTGGGAGGCCGAGGCGGGCGGATCATGAGGTCAGGAGATCGAGACCTTCCTGGCTAACACGGTGAAACCCCATCTCTACTAAAAATACAAAAAAATTAGCCAGGCGTGGTGGCAGGCACCTGTAGTCCCAGGTACTCGGGAGGCTGAGGCAGGAGAATGGCATGAACCCAGGAGAATGGCATGAACCCAGGAGGTGGAGCTTGCCATGAGCTGAGAGCACGTCACTGCGCTCCAGCCTGGGTGACAGAGCGAGACTCTGTCTCAAAAACAAACAAACAAACAAAAAACAAAACAAAACAAAACAAAAAAACACATGTATGCCTGGCTGTTGCCTTTTGACTTTCCAAATTTTCATCTGGACTTCATTGATCTCCATGATTCTCTTCTAATCTACCTCCACTCTCAACTTACCTTTCCAATTTTCTCCTCTTGCTCTGTATACTCTACATTACAGTCAGAGTTAATCAATTGTGCAGTAGAACATGCTTTCCACTTTCATATACTTGTGCCATGGTTTGTGTTGTTTTTTGCCTGGGATATACCCCCAACCATTACCATTGCTTGCTTCTTAAGGCTTTACTCAACTTCTTCTTCCAGAAACCCTTCTTAGATACTCTGGAAAGAATTAATCTTTATTTTGTTTTCTCAGGACTCATCTTCCTTTGAAAATTGTTGTTGAGTTTGTGTTTTGGTATAGGTATTTGCTTTTATGTTTTTCCTCCACTAAACTGAGGATTCTCTGGGTACAGACGTTGTCTTACTTGTCTTTGTGTTCCTAAGCACGAACGCAAAGTCTTGAATGTAGGGAAAATGCACAATACATATTTGATGAATGTATTTTTTTGTTTGCTTAGTTAGCCATAACCTATCTTTCAAAGCTGAATATTCTCTAATATGGTCTTTGTGTGTTAGCCAAGCCAGATTGTTATTTGCTTTTTTCTGAAAGCACTCCATGATTTCTATTGTTATGCACATGTGGACCTCTTTGACTAGTATTCCACCTTTCCTTGTCACCACACCCAGCCTTCTCTGTCACCCTTGTGCCATATCCTAGCACAGAGTTTGGTGTATTCAGTAAAGGCTATTAAAATCCTGCCCATCAGCCAGGTGCAGTGGCTCACACCTGTAATTCAAGAACTTTGGGAGGCCGAGGCGGGTGGATCATGAGGTCAGGAGATCGAGACCATCCTGGCCAACATGATGAAACCCCAACTCTACTAAAAATACAAAAATTAGCTGGGTGTGGTGGCGCGTGCCTGTGGTCCCAGCTACACGGGAGGCTGAGGGAGGAGAATCCCTTGAACCCGGGAAGCAGAGGTTGTAGTGAGGCGAGACTCTGTCTCAAAAAAAAAAAATCTTGCCCATCATTCTAGCCCTATCTGGTTTGTGACTGCTTCATGAAATCTTTCTGTAGTCCAACCCCATTTCCAAACCAGATATGATGTTTCCCTTCTGAGCCATTTACAATGACGTTGAACTAGATGCTGTTCCTCTTACAATTTCTTGAATGGCTCAAAATCAGCTAGGCTCCAAGTCTGATCATATTTCGGGTTACATCAGCGTAGATGGGGGAGAATGGTAGGCTCTATTGGGGATGTTAGGATCAGATCATGAAGGGTCTTAATTCGATATTAGGGAATTCTGGATTTTCTCTAGAAAGCAAGGAACCATCGAAAATATTTGAGCAGAGGCAAGATGTAATCTGATCTTCATATTAGGAAGATAACTCAGGAGGTTCTTGTCTTATCCTCCCTGCTAAATTGAAAATTTCTCAAAGGCAAAGAGTATCCTGATCATCCCCGTCTCTGCTGCAATATCTAGATATTCAGTTAGCTGACCTGAATTAAATTTACTAGTCAATTAACTAATTCAGAGACCAACTCAAACCTAAAAAACAATTGGATAGCAAAGAGATATCAGAGAAAAGGACCTCAAAGGAGGCTTTTCTCTTTGCTTTTATGTCAAAGTGGGATAACTATAACAAGATAACTCTATTTTCTAAAATGTTGAAAAATGACAGAATAACAGTCTACAGTTATTTTATCATTATTTAATGGTTTTAATGATTTAGTGAAAATGAGAAAACACTCTCTCAAGTAAATGTTTATATGTTATGGCATTTTGAGTTTTTAAAAATTTTAGTTCAACAAAAATAGTAGTGTAAGAAAGCAAAAATTTGATAAATTGGCTAGTAAAGAGAAGCTTTCAAAGACAAACAGCTCCTCCATAGCTGAAACCTTTAAAATCCCTCAGAAAAATGTCTCCAATTATTTACAGAGTGGTGATCAGTGCATTGGGAATAGTAATTTAATAACCGGAAAAGGAGCACTTTTAAAGATGGATTCAGGCAGAGGTGACGGATATCTGCAGGGCATTTTATTGTAGAATCTTGCTGCTCATTGAGGTAAAGAACACACTAAGAGGATTACAACAGGGGTTGAGAGAAGGGAGGCAAAGCCGATATTCTTGATGCATATGTTTTAAAATTGGCCTGAGATAGAGATATCAGTGCCTAGCCCCTGACTGTTCTTTTAAATCTGTTATTGACAAGTAGAACCTTTCCTACAGAGAAAAATTTGGAACGTATAATCCCCATTTGCAATGTGGGAGTCAGATATAACCCTGACAATTACAACCTGTTGCTCTTTTATCCATTTCAAAAACAGATTTGGAATCTACTACACATTGACAATTTGGCAAATACATTTTTCAACATCTCTCTGTTGCTACTTAAATTGGCAACATTTTTAGATTGACTCAGTTTGATGGCAGTCAAACTAGATGTTTCTTTGAAATGGATGAGATTTAAACTTCATGGTAGTTAATATCAAAGGAGATATTTCATGAGAAGAACAGTTTGAGGAATGCCTGGTTATGGAAAAATACAGCAGAAAAATGGACTCCAATGTTTGGCAGGTCATATATTCTGCCAGAATCAAAAGGAAACTTATTTTAATTCTAGCCTTTCAGTACATGGCTTCGCAGACATCAGCAGGACATTAGTGACAATCTTCTGTATGGAAATGGCAAGAAAAACATCAAGTTATAATTTTGGAATTATGGTATACTTGTTACAATTTAGCTTGTAAGTTCAGTAGTTATGGATGCTAGTAGAATGCATTCATAATTACTGAAGTACTGTATTATTCTGGCATTATTCTTTTTGCCACAGAGGAGTCTGGGAAATGACAAACAACTCTTTGCTGTTCTATTTCTTTGGAGAGCAAGTCATTGAAAATGATATTTTGTATAAATTATTTATGTACTGAAGCAAATACAAAATTCTAGTTAAAATTTTGAATGGATTGCCATTAACATAGGACACAGGACTTGAATTAAAAGCCTAAGTCCTTCTCTTATTTTCAGACAAATTAGATCTTAGATATTTTGCCTTGTTTAACTGCGTAATTTTGCCTTGCTGATGTTTTCTACTCTCAGCTCTTTCCATTTGTTGGCCTTAGAAGTGGGTGGATTGGTCAGCTATAAAGTTAGAGCATAGAAACAATAAGAGAGAACAGAAATTACATGAGGAAAGAGATTTTATAACATTTTCTTTAATTAGCTGTGATTTTAACTTAAGTGTGAAATTATTCAAATTGACCCTAAATGCCTTATCAAAAGTGAACATCATATAAAATTTATTTGCAATAGAATAAACAATTTGTTCAAAATGAGGGTTATGCTCTATGAACTTCTTTCAAGAAATATTTCATTGTCTTGTGTTCTGTTTCTTAGTAGATGTGCAGAGAAGATCATAAGTGGTTCTTTTCTTATTTTGAATTTGCACAAGAATATTTAAGGCTACTCCACCTTCATTAGCTATTTGGGAAAAATAATTAAACACGTTTTAACTGACCCAGCATGTATATGCATTGCTTTATCATTGACTGCTTCTACATCAGTTTATTCAGACAAGCAAAATTATAATGGTCACTTAAAGGACCTATGTGTATAAGTATTTAAAAGAATAAAAGAGAGTTTTTTTGATTCTCAATAAGACTTAAAAATGGTTTTAATGACATATATGATAGTATGCATTTAGATACCAGTCTCAATCTAAATGTTCTTATACACATGTGCACGTGCATGTGTGTACATGGGCGCACACACACACACACACACACGGCATGTTATGTTGTAGATTGTCAGAACACTTTTTTTTTCTCAAATCCCAGCTTTCATAGTTCTTAACTTCCCACCCTCGTTTGGTCTAAAACTAAGCTATCGAATTAATTTAAAAAGTGAAGTCACAGAAGAAAAATGTAATGGCCATTGTCAGTTTTAAGGATATCAGAACACCAGACTTGGCAGGAATCTTTTTTTTTTAATAATACAAAATAAAGCTGAGTTAGTGGGCCTTGCTGTGTCTGCTCTATGTGGAATCACTTGGGAACTGTCCAGCAAAATATCTCTTGAAGAACAGCATGGTGTTAATACTGGGTGCCAGCCCAAGGCAGAGACAAAGGACCCCTTCACTCTTCACCAATAAGCCAACTGTTAAAAGATTAAACCATGTTGTGGAGATAACAAGAATGTAGGCGCTGGCAGCAGGTGCTGTACAAAGAAGCAGTTGGCTGTATGGTTCTTCTGTCTGACTAATTTCAGTCAAAACAATCTTCTGCCCAGTTGCAGAGGGGAGTTTTGAGTGTGATGGCAACTTGGAGTTAGGAGGTTGAGTAAGACTGCTACTTTAAATGCTGAGTCCTGTGGCGAACGGATTAGTACAATGTAGTTTATCATTGTTCAGAAACTGTGGGGATTCCCCGCCAGAATCCAGGCACTGTAAGCACTGTAAGTCAAATCTGCTTATGTGGTGGTGTTGCTATATTTTTTAAAATTTCATTTTCACATGTAGGAGTCATATGACGTTTTCTTCTCTTGAGAAGTGACTTTCATTATAGAATAATTACCACATATATTAGTTTTATCTTTATGATAGTGCCTGATTACACTTGTAAAATTTTTTGTTTTAAATCATCATTGAATTTATGCATTTTAAAAAATAATTTGGTATTCAACAAATATCTAGCATTAGCGCAGATATAGAATGGATGTTTTAGTGTTAGGAAATAAATTGTTATTAAAGCAACATCATTTGTTGAGTTTTCAATATAAATTGGTATATTCCTGTAAGCATACACAAATAAATATTGGTACTAAAAAACCTAGAATAATTACTCAGTGAAAGTGATCATATAATTTAGGAGATAAAATTTATTAAGTATGAAGTAATAGAATTCCTACAAGTGATGTGAGTGCCTACTAATTTGACAATCAGGTCTAAGTGAGCAATGCTAGAATAGAAGGTGCACAACACCTTTGGCATATGTAATCTGATAAGGAACACAGGAGAAGTGGGTGCAAAGTCTCCCCCTTCAGTACCCCCTGTCCATCCCCACAACTCTCTCTAAAGTCTCAGCTCATATTTCTTTATTCTTAGGAGATTGTATGAACTCCCAGCTATTTTCCCTGCCTTTGATGTCTTCATTCTACAGTCTGTTATCCTCTACCTTTACCAGATCAACCTTACTAAACCTGCTGTTAGCGAGATAGTTTTGATTATTAAAAAGTCAGGAAACAACAGATGCTGGAGAGGATGTGGAGAAATAGGAACACTTTTACACTGTTGGTGGGAGTGTAAATTAGTTCAATCATTGTGGAAGACAGTGTGGCGATTCCTCAAGGATTTAGAATCAGAAATGCCATTTGACCCAGCAATCCCATTACTGGGTATATACCCAAAGGATTATAAATCATTCTACTATAAAGACACATGCACACGTATGTTTATTGCAACACTGTTCACAATAGCAAAAACTTGGAACTAACCCAAATGCCCATCAATGATAGACTGGATAAAGAAAATGTAGCACATGTACACCATGGAATACTATGCAGCCATAAAAAAGGATGAGTTCATGTCCTTTGCAGGGACATGGATGAAGCTGGAAGCCATCATTCTCAGCAAACTAACACAAGAACAGAAAACCGAACACCACATGTTCTCACTCACAAGGAAAGTTGAACAATGAGAACACAGGGACACAGGGAGGGGAACATCACATACTGGGGCCTGTTGGGGGGTGGGGGGCTAGAGAGGGATAGCATTAGGAGAAATACCTAATGTAGATGACAGGTTGATGGGTGCAGCAAACCACCATGGCATGTGTACCTATGTAACAAACCTGAATGTTCTGCACATGTACCCCAGAACTTAAAGTATAAAGAAAGAAAAAAAAAAAAAAGAAAGCTTTCACTGGCTCCCTACTGTCCACCTGACTCCATAGCTTTACACTTGACACTTTCTACAGTTTGGGCAAATTTACTTTTTGAGTCTACCTGCGAATCCTAAGACTCATTGATTAAGCTTCCTTGCCTTTACTTGAATACCTTTTTATTCTTTATTATTCCTGTCAAATTGTCCCCATCCTTCAAGGCCTACTTTACCTGTTACGTCTTCCAAGATGCTCCACCTTTAGGTTACTCCAGCGGAAATGAGCGTACCATTTTTTCATGCCTGTAATACTACTATTTAATCGTTCATATGGAGCTTATCATGAAAGGTGAGTGGGGAGAGAGAGAGAAATTGCCTGTACTCTGTTGTATGTTTCTTTGGGTCAGGAAAAAAATATTTTATAATATTCCACACCACACAGCATAGGGTCTTGCATGTTAGAGTCGGTGCTCAACAACTCTTGATTGAATTGAATTAAAGGTGATTGAATGCTACTTTTTGAAAAGAGATATCAATCAGAATAAATAATGTTTTAGGATAACTTATTTTGGTTAAGTGTGTTGAAAAGTTTAACTCTTAGACTATGAGTTAAAAATGCATACTTCTTCTCATGATATAGGTAGATCCCAATATTGTCCTTCATGCCTCTGTTTCCATTGGAAAGTGGAGTTTCTCAGGCAGTGAAGCAAGCAGCAGGAGTCAAATAGTGCCATCGATCCTTTGGCCTGCAGCCAGTGTGTGGCTGATCACCAAGGTACCTAAGAGTGTCTGTTTTCCCTGAGTGACCTCCCCTTGCTTGCTGGCTCACCGCACTTGCTGGCACCCAGTGCTGTCATGCATGCGAGCATAGAAGTGAAAGCGTGATAAATTGTTGGCTGTTATAAATGCTATCTCTGCTGTTGGTATTGCCTAGCCCACAGGACTTATGTAGATTCTCAAGTGAGCATTCAGTTCACTATCAGACATGCTGCTCATTAGTTTATACCTCACAGTATATTTAAACCAAGCATAGAATTTGTCTGTAGTCCACAGACTCATTATTTTCATGAGATTTGTCTGAATGTGCTTCTACTCCTAGATCTTCATTTTGAATTTTACCCCTCAGCTTTCCTGCCTGGTAGATTACCAACATATACCAGCTTTGCATATCGTCTTAGCAAGGACATTGTTTTAAAAGAAATCCCTGAGTATAAACATGAACAGTGCCTAACACATTTTGTTCCTGTGTGTTGGTAATATTTAATCTTTTTCACTTATTATTTATTGTACTATTGCATATGACTTATAGAAGAACATAGAATTGTCCTTTTCTTTCATTTTACTACTGTAGTACATTTTGTAAATATGTATTTATGTTGAAAAGAGATGGTGCAGTTCACAATTATCCTTCCTGTATCTCCCTTTGCCCCCTCATCGCAGACAATTTTGCTACTTCTTAGCACTCCTGTGAATGTGAAGTCACCCAGTGAGGTTTGCTGGGGGGTGGGGGAAGATTGACACTATTTTCTCAAATGAAATTTTGAATTGCCCTTAGCTATTGTTCTTTAAAAGTTAAAAAAGAACATGTAGAATAATTAAGACACAAAGGTACTAAGACATATTATTTATTTCGTGTGTCAAAGCATAGTAAGTTTACATGAGCTATTCCTGAAATCTGGATTTCCAGCTGGAGGCTATGTTAACTATTTGCCCTTTTTACATGGTATTTTGTTTCTGATTTAATAATAATATCTCCACTTAGTTGAATACTATATGTCAGACATTACATTAGGTACTTTATTCACATTTATTATTTCATTTAATGTTATAAGAACTGTGCAGATTTTTATTATACAGCTGAAGAAACTAAGGTTAGTAATGGCAGAGGAAAGATTCTTGGTCTCTTTGACTTCAGAACTTTCATTGTAATATGAAACACTCCTCAATATTTGACTTACCTGTGAGCATTATGGAAGTGTTTTAGTCTCAGCCCTGCCACTGAATAGCTGTATGACAGCAGACAAGTCACACATGTTATCTAGGCCTTAGTGTTCTATGAAAACAAGTTGGACTAGTTGCTATAGAAGGTCCATTCTCAGATCCCATATTCTTTAATTTCATAGTATCTGTTTCTAGAATTTCATGATAATCAAAAACATATACTTGTCTAAAATCTCCTCAAAAATAATTGGAATGCCTACCAAAAGAGTATAGTTTTGGAGTTATTAAATAATTGAAATCTCTTGTGTGACATTGGGAAAATTACTTAGCTGCATTGAACTACTGTTTTCTCTTCTATGAATGATGTTAGTCATACCTGTTTTGCACAGTTGCTGCGAAGGTGAAATGAGAAAGCATGTGTGATGTTCAAGCATGGTGTCTGGTATACAGAAAGTGCTTAATAAATGATGGCTGCCTTTCCTCACCCTAAGCAGTTCTTTCTGTGTAGACAAGCATGGTCAAACAAGGATTTCATTCAGTGCTTATTAAAACCAATTTTTTAAAGAAATATTTTTCCTAAGTCATCAGTCATCATCATGTTTCTTTTCCACACTACAAACACAAGAAATAAAGTATATGCTAAAAAGGAAGCAATTCTGAAAATCCTTTAAGATTGAACTCTCTCTTCTTCTTTTAAAAATAAACCTTTTTACCTGTTAAGAGAGAATTTTATGTGCCATAAATCTCCAGTAGATGTAGACAAATTTCTCCGTGGTTGTCACTTATAAAAAATGTTGTATTGACTCACTAAGTAAGAAAACGGTTAAATGGCCCTTCAAGCAATACTCCCCTTTAATTTCCTTGGCAGGAAATCCTAACATTTAAAACAAAAGCAGTTCACAAACCACCTTAAAATGTTTAACCCATGATATTTAGACCCAGAGTAAAACTTTAAATTAATACAAAGGTTAAGGATTTGTTTCAGTCTTTTCAGTTCACTGCACTATTTTTTTTCTGTGCGTACATATTTCCAGTAAGCTCTGTAGTTATAACTACAGCAAGTGACACGTGATGGACCCCAAATTGCTGCACTGTGAAATATGCACAGAAAAAAAAAGACAAATGAAGATATCAAGGTCTGTTTTATTTTGCACTGAACTGTAAAATGCCACCCTTGTTGGACAGAAGATTACTGATTCTGAGCAGGGCTCGCTGACTGCTAAGTTGTGGGTAGTGTTTCACTTTCAGCAACTGTTAATATCCAGGGTTATCCAGGCATAATGACCTCACTATTTGTGACACATTGTTGAATTTTCTGGTTCTTTTAACTTATTTAGACCTTTCTCCCCCTCTCTATTCATTGGAAGACTGGAATGATCCTGAGTCGAGCGATAACTCAGGGCTGCCTGGCTATTGGTCATCCTATCAGAGTCAAGGCTGCTGAGGGAACATCACTAGAAGGATATAAATTAATCCTACAGAAAAGGTAATGCTTATGAGTTATTTAGCTCAAGATAATAAATGCTAATTTCAAGAATTCTGAGCAGTTCAATTGTGATGCTTCCTGGTTTGGATTGAATATTCATTCAATGTTTATATTTGTGTTCATAATAACAATATTAATTTCTGAATCTAAAGTAAGCTTGAAAATGTATGCCACTTAGTTTGGTAGTGTTTTAAAAATATTTAAAAGGTGAAATGTTGGCCTTCAACATGTACCTATGTTGTAGACAAACTGCTGCTTTACTCTGTAATTATTATAACTCATTTCTTTATATCTGTTTTGATTGCTAATTAACAAACTTAAATTTTTGTGTGTATTCTTAACCATTTTTCCATCTTCTGAATATAAAATATTGAACTGTGAAAGAATAATCACGGAGACCAAAAAATGCTGGCTTGTAAGGGACCATAAGTGTCCTTCATATTTGTTTTTTTCTGATTTAGGAAGATACAATAAAGGAAAACAGATTAAGGAAGAAAGTTGATTTATCTCCAAGAGTCCCAAAATATGTTTTCTAATCACTTTCTTTTTTCTTGGTCTTTAGTTTTGATATTTTGTTTTCACTTAGTGTTGAAAAAAATGATTTCTATCATACTTCAGGACTTAAAAAACCATTACCAATGACTTCTGGCTAGATAGGCACTTAGGATGTGCTTAAGCTGAAATCATCAGAGAAGTTGATCCAGCCATAAATACAGAAGGGAAATTTTCTCTAACCTGCAAAGCAGATATAAGGATATCATATAATGATTAAGAATGTGATCTACAGACTCAAATTCCCAGGTGTAGATGCAGGCTGCACCGCTTACTCTAACAACAAAGTGTCTAAGCCAGATGCTATTCTCATATCCTTAAATTGCATTGTCAAATTTTATCCGTACAACAATCTCATAGGATAAGTATCATTATTATCTTTACAGGTGAGGGAACTGAGGTACAGAGAAGTTAATCACCTGCTCAAAGCCATACCTACTAAGTGGTTTGGCAGGAATGCAAACCCAAGCAGTCAGGCCCTATAACCTGAAAGTAGACACTTAGCCACAACACTACACAGCCTGTCAGTTAAAGTCCAGTCAAACAATTGCCAATGAGTGCCAAGTGTGGTAGCAGATACCTTAGTGGATGAGCAGGGTACATCACTTGAAAAACTCAGGCAGATGGGAAAGATGGTAGCTTGGCATTATGCAAACTCTCCAGTGCTAATAGAGTCCTAAACACATAGTTCCTAAGTAGTGGCAGACAATCCTAAAGCAAGTCTCAGTTTGGTATGGAGCTGTACACAGACTGGGTAGTAAGATTTCTGAAGCAGAATGAGTTCTGTAAAGACACTTTGAGCATGAACTTGCAATGCCAATGCCAACGCCAATGCGAAACCATGGAACATGGAGCCAGAGATGCTTCAGCTCATTTAGTCCACAGTTATACTAAAGAGAAAAATCAATCAATTGTAACTGACCCAAAAATGACACAGATGATAGAATTACTAGATGGGACATTAAAAGAGTTATTTTAACTGTATTCTCTATATTCAAGAAGCTGGAGGAAAGATTGAACATGTTAACTAAATACACGGAAGATATAAAAAAACTCAAATTTCAAGAGATGAAAACTGCAATATATAAGACAAAAAATATACTAAACATTGCTAATGCCAGATTAGACAATGTGGAAGAAAATAGCAGTGAACTTGAGAAGATAACAAAAGTATTCACAAGGAAAACCAGAGAGGAAACAAATACTTAAAAAAAAAAAAAAAAAAAAAAAGAACAGAGCATCAGTGAGATGTGAGAAAATTTCATATGGCCTCATTTCTGAGTATTTATAGTCTCTGACAGGTTAAAGCAAGGAACAGAAAAATATTGGAGGAAATAGTGTCTGAACAATTTCTATGTGCAAAACTGAGAGCTATAACCCACTGATTCAAGGAACTCAACAAATTCCAAGCACAAGAAGCATGAAGAGACAAAACCAAGGCACATTATAATAGAATTGTTTAAAATTAGTGATAAAGAGAAAATCTTAAAAGCAGAGAGAAAAGGCGTATTATGTACAAGAGGATCTAAAATAAGGCTGACAGCAGATTTCTTGTTGGCAACAATGCAAGTAAGAAGACAGTGGAAGAACATCTTTAGAATACTAAAAGAGAAGGTGGGGAGGAACCTGTTAATATAGAAAACTTTTCCCAATGATAATGTTTTTCAAAATTTAAGGCAATATAAAGACCTTAAGATATTCACAAACTGAAGAACTCATCACCAGCAGATCTTCATGATACGCAATGTTAGAGAACATCCTTCAGGCTGAAGAAAAATGATACCAGATGGAAATATAGAGCATTGGCAATGGTGACTACATAAGTAATATAACAATGCTACTAGGCCTGACGTGGTGGCTCATGCCTGTAATTCCAGCACTTTGGGATACTGAGGCGGGCAGATCCCTTGAGCCCAGGAATTTGAGACCAGCATGGGCGACATGCTGAAATTCCATCCCTACAAAAAATACAAAAATTAGTCAGGTTCAGTGAAGGTCCACAGCTGTAGTTCCAGTTACTTGGGAGGCTGAGGCAGGAGGTTGAGGCTATAGTGAGCCATGATTACACCACTACACTCCAACCTGAGTATCAGAGCAAGACTGCGTGTCAAAAACAAAAAAACCCCACAACCTCACAGTGCTAATTATTTTTGTCTCTTTAAAAGAGAATTGGTTGTTTAAAGCAATAGTAAATAATAATAATATATTGTGGAGATAATGTGTAGAAATAAAATGTGTGATGGAAATAACACAGGTGCCATTAGGAGAGAAATGGAAGAAAGATTTTTTATACTATTTGTGAAATGATGTGATATCAACTGAAAGTAGATTATGTTAAGTTAAAAGTATATAATCACCCAAACAATCATTAAAATAATAGACAGTTATGGCTAACAAGTCAAAAAAGTAAATAAAATGAAATATTAAAAATAATTAATTCAAATCAAGACAAAGAGGAAAAGAGGAAGAAAGAACAGAAATAGAAAATGAATAAACGACTGGCTAGGCTTAAAGCCATGTGTAGTAATAATTGCATGGAAATATAATAATCTAAACACCTCATTTAAAATCGACATTGTTAGATTAGATAAATACACATCCATCTATGAGCTACCTATAAATAATTAACTTTAAATATAAAGACCACCAATAGTTAAAAGATAAATTCACGAAAATATATACAATGATAAATTAATCAAAAAGAAAGAAGAATGGGGATGTATTGTAATATCGCTAAGTAGGACTTCAGTGAAAGAGGGGGATTACTGGATAAATAGGGCCATCTTTTGGATTAAGGGGGGTAATTAGTCAAGGAACATAATGATTTATGGTTAAGAAGAGAGATGACAGCAGTGTCAAGATACCTGAGTGGAAGCTGAGAATTGCCAGGAGAAAGGAGAAATCTAACACTTCTAGTGAGCAACAATAATACCACTGTTTCATAATTAACAGAACAGTAAAAAACGCCGGTAAGGATATAGGATGACTGAGAAGGTAACGATTGACGACAATTTAGCTAATTGAGTATTTTATAGAAAAAATGGCATTCAATAACAGAGAAGAGGCAATTTTTTAAAGGTACATTAGCATGTACCAAAATATAGTCTATATAATGGCTGATGAAAACAAATTAATAGTATTAAGAAAATTAATAATATAGAGTGTGTTCGGTCTGGATGATTAGATGAATTAACTAAACATAGCGAAGTTTTCTGCAGCCTCCAATATTTGAACACATTTATAACAAACCCGCCGCATTGGAATCAAAGAACGACATTAAAATGAATTAGCAGTATTTTGAACTGAATGAAAATGGAAATACAACATATTAAGAAATTTTAAACCATGGCTGAGGTTTCAGAGGGGAAGTTGACATTAAATGCATTGTATAAGAACAAGAAAGGATATCCACATTCAATGATTTCAGGCTTCCACTCTAGGAGCGAATGTAAGAGAGCAGGTCAAAACAAGTAAGCAGAAGAAATGGGTAAGTGAAGTTAAAGAGGTGGATCAAAATTAAAATTAGAGAAAATTAGAGAAGAACAATGAATTAAAGCTGAATGGAGGAAAAGTAAAACGTAAAAATCTCTAGCCCGGGTGTGGTTCCGACGAAGAGGGGAGGACACAGATTACTGGTATCTGCAATGAGGAGATATATTGCAGTTATTATGGGATGAGTAGGGAATTTTTGAAAACTATGTGCCGAGTAATGTTGTTTCATTTGGCGTGATTAAAGGACCATTTCCTTTAAAGACACAAAACCACCAATGGCTTACTCAAGAAACAAAGGGAAACCTGAATAGTTCCTACGTCTTGCTTAATAAATGGAAAACCTTCCTACAAAGAAAACTCCAGACCCATATTACTTCACTAGCTTCACTAGGAAATTCTGCAAACATTTTAGGAAAATTAATACCAACTCTACACAATCTTATCCACAAAAGAAATAAGAAGGAATACTTTCCATCTGAATCTAGGGGGTCAGCAGTATCCTGATCACAAAACTTGATAAAGATATTATAGGAAAAGAAAATCATAGACCAGTATCTCTCATGACTGTAAGTGCAAAAAATTATTAACACGATTTTAGCACATGGAATACAACAATTTATAAAAAGATGTATCATGAACAAGTAGGGTTTATCCCAGGAGTGCAAGAATAACTTGACAATAATTAGCTCAAAATGATCATATACCTAAGTGTAAAACCTAAAACTGTAGGTATTTTAGATTAAAGCAGAGGAGAAACTATTTGTGACCTTCCATTAGGCAAAATATTCTCAGATGTGACACCAAAAGCATGATCCACAAAAATAAAAATTGACAAGTTGCACTTCAACAATATTAAAAATTTCTATTCTCTGAAAGACAGTGAATGAAGAGAGAATGAAAAGACAAGCCACACACAAGGTGCAAATATTTGCAAATCATATATATTTGCAAAATAC